AGGAGATTCTTTTTCGAGATCCGAGTAGGCGATACGTCGAGTTTGCGCCTACGTTTGTCACTATCGGTTTCACGGATCTGCTCGTGAGATTACGTGTACGTGTATTGGCTATAAATGGAAGTAGGTTGTATCGTGTAACGTAACGTAATTGGTAATGCAAGTGAGAGGTGTGCGCGAGAAGAGGATGCGTTTTAAATCCGGTTCTCATTGTCAGACGAGACTCGCTCGCTCGTTTTCCTTTAAATCGTTTTAACGCGAAAAAAAAATATTTCTTCTGTATCCTCATATATATATATGATATATTCGATTCATTCTCGGCTTCTTCGAGGATATCTTCTACTTTCGCCTACTTTTCTAAAAAGAAGAAAAAAAAAATGTAAGAGAAACCTTTCACCGAAGTACTCGAAACACGTTGCAACGCGTCTCCCCTACATAACGGGTCATCGAGCAGCTCTGTTACCTTATGATAACGGGCCAAAGCAATAAACCCGCCGACAACCTGAATATTTTGTTCTCACGAGGCGACCAATCCATCTCTCCGATCCGCGCTCGGAAGAAAATCCGTGCGTGGAAGGGGACGAAATAGGATGATACGCGGTCGTAATCACCTTTTTCATTTCTTTTCCTTTCTTGAAATAGCTAGTAGTAGCAGCAGCGATGGAGGGAAGAGGGGGAGGAGGAAGGGGGAGAGGGAGAGGAGGCAGGTGATACCGGAGATTTGCTTCTCGCTCGTGACCGGTTCCTGGATATGCGGTTTTACTGCCGCTTAATAAGCTGTAATAAGGACCGGCCTGATACCCTCGCCACTCGATATTCCGTAGAGCGATAAATCTGCGAGCGGCGCGGTCGTAACGCGAATCGCGCAAGGGCGAGAGACAGGCAGGCAGGCAGGCAGAAGGCAGGTGATTCGTGACTCGTTCCGATACCGATGATGCTGTCTGCCGACGTGGCAACTTCTAACGAGTCCTTCAAACCTGTCTCTGTAGTTCTCGTATTCCTTCGATTCTCTCCTTCTCCTCGCTCTCTGTCTCTCCCTCTCTCTCGATGGAGGGACGAGTCCATTCCATCGAATCGAACGTCTCCTCCTCTCTTGGTGTTGTTCGAGAAATATTTCTCGCGTCTGAACGATTCGGCCGAAATGAATTACGCGTAATTTTAATTAAATCCATCTATCGTTTCTATTCGAAAACTTGGAGGTTAAGGACGAGGCTAAGGAAGGAAAGTTGGTAGGAAGTTGGTGAACGGAATGAAGGAGAGGTAAGTTTCGGAAGTTTGTCACCTTCTTTTTTTTTTTTTTTTTCGTATCGACTCTTCGTTGCGCAATCTCGAATACACGCTCATCCGTAAAGGGGTCTAGGAGAAATTGAAATGGACGATGGACAGACGGTAAAGGCATCGAAGGAAGGATGGAAGGAAGGGGGGATTGGACGCGTGATAAATCTCGCTTTTTGGCCGGCAGTGTTGGGTTAGGTCTTGCCTCCAACTCGTTTATCGCCACGGTCGATCGAGAGGTTTAACGACGCAACACAAGGGTTGCGTTCTTCTAAATGGGGACGGTCCACCCTCTTGCGCGGGTGTCGGCCTGTCCTTTTTTTTTCGGTTATCGATTCGACGAAGAGTTCTCTCTCTCTCTCTCTCTCTCCCTCTTGCCAAGGACTCGAGTTGGATAAAGGAATGACGGAAAGATGGATTTTTCCTCCTTTCTTCTCTCGCCTTCTTCTTCCTTCCTTCCTTCCTTCCTTCTTTTCTTTCTTTCTTTCCTTGTTTCTTTGGTAAATCAGATGCAGTCTCGCCTCTCGTCGCAGCGGCGTGCAACAGTTGGCGAGGAGGAAACATCTGTCGGTCGCGGCGCATGCGTATATCCCTCAGGTAAAACCTGCACCAACTCAGAGATTCTCAAATTTCTCACCTCGTTCCTCGCAAAAGCGATGTTTCTCGCGATCGGTTAAAAAAAAGGATGTCGATCGAAGTTTTGATACACGGAATCAAAGAAAAGAAAAAGAAAAAAAAAAAAAATCGAATCGAACTTTTTGAAAATTGAACAAAGAATCTTTTCTCGCGCAATTAGTTCCGTGCTTGTGATTACGAACGTCCTGACAATCGTTTTGCCATAACAATCGTCACGGTAAGAGTAGCTGCAATTACCAATGACAATTAAGAGTGAAGAATCACGGCCTCGTTTCAAGAGCTCGAACGAATCGAGTTTCTCACAATTGCTCGCCCTCCCCTCTCCTCGTGATTTCAGAAAAGTAACATGGTCCCGCGGATATTCTTAGGATCGGATTTCCCTCTCGGTCGAAGCTGGCAATTTCAATTACTTTACAACAGATATTATTCCGGAATACTCGAGTCCATATTTACGATTTCCAGCCGCTTACGAACGGACACTGCTATCTCTCACGCGATTGTTCCCGCGAGAAAGCAAATTGCGATCCTTTGAAGACCGATCCTTTGAAGAAGTAATAATAATTCGTTTCAAATGTTGGAAAAAAAAATACATACATATATATAAATATATATATATATACACACTTAAAGAAACAAAAGAAAAAAAAAGGATATGGAAAGTGTAATGCAACAGTGTATTTCATTCTTAAGAACCTCAGAAGCTAGTTGACCTTCTATTGTTCTCTTTATCGCCGATAGGTCTCACCCGATCTTTTAGCAGAGTCGAAGAAGAAAGTGCAACGACCACCTCTCCCTTTCCCTCCTCCAACTGGTTCGTTACGCTGAAAACTCAATTCACACTGTTTCGAACACACTGTTCTCGTTGCGACCTCGTTGTTCAACACCGACCAATCCGATCAATGGATTAATTAACACACGAACGTCTCTTCCTTCCTTCCTCCAGAGGAGGAGGAGGGAAAAGTGGCGAGACACAACTCCAACCCGATAATCCTATCCGATAATTAAAATTGAACACCATCTTCGGTCTCGCCGCCTTGAAATTCAATTAGATCTAACCGCGAGTTACGATCCGAGTTCGATTTACACTGCCATGACGGCGGTCACCGCTGTTTCTGTTCCCAATAATAGGATGACTCACTCACGATGAAAATTACGTATCCACGAAAGGGTGGAACACCCTCGTCGCGTGCCTCGCTTTATTCTTATCATTCCGATTCTGATGCAAATTCGTCGGACACCGGATTTGTTTTGTTAGTCACGAAGGGAGAAGGAGGTGGTGGTGGTGGTCAACTTCGATAGAAAGATGGAGGAAAATATTAAAAATTGCTCGCGAAGCGAACGATATCGACTCGTTCGTTATTTGGTTGAACGGTGCTAGTTACCTGGCACCGGGTTACACGACGTCGGTTCGCGTGCTAGAAGGAGGGTACTTTGTTCCCGTTAATCACTCTCGAATTTCGTTCGATTTCGGTCGCGAAAGTTTGCTCGCCTCTTTTCTTCCGTGCTCGCGATTCGAGTGATATCGATTTCTTACCGATTACTCCAGATTTCGTCCATCTCTTTAGATTTTTCTACTACCTCAACGCGAGGAGTAGGAATCTTGTTTAACGTCCGAAGACTAACAACTTTACGCGTAAAAGAGAAACAAAAGTAACGATTGCGTCACGTACACAATAATCGCATCTATCGAGGATTCACAGTTCGAGGACTGTGATATATCCGATATTGATTTTCGATCGATGATCGGCGATCTCCGGATGCAGAAAAGTAGGGGAATAACGCGTCCGGCGCGAGAAACGACCGTCCCTTCGTGAGGTGGTCGAAACCGCAGATATTCACGGGTGGAAAAAAAGAAAAAAAGCGAACGCGCTCGAACGTGAAATCAATAACGATATTCAACGAGATTACGCAAGGACTGACAGATGTATCGGTTGACCTATATTCGTTCGATCTTCGGCGTGATTAATTGATTTCGGAGGGAAATATTTATTGTCGCGATAAATGTTGTTGGAAAGAAGAAGAAAAAGAAAAAAGGAGGGATAGAGTTTAAAACTTTGAGGATGGAAAACGTTGAAAAATTGAATCGAACGCGACGATTTATAATCGTGGCCGCAACAGATCCTTGGAGCATGGATGGAACGACGATTCTGAAATTCAAGAGCGCGAACTGGGTCACCCGGATCGTGATACTTCCTCGTTCTTTTTTTTTTTTTTTTTTCATCCTGTATCGCGTAGAGCGAGTCCTTCAAAGTTATCTCATCCATAGGTGTGCCTCGTGCGGACCGTTCTGTTGTGCAACACAAGTTCCCAGAGGAAGCCGTATGCATCGTCTGTATACGATACGATACGAAAGAAGAAGGAACTTCGAACGCGTGCAATGAATCGTAAAAATAATAATTTCTAAAAATAAAACGAAATTACGTTTTTTAACGTTTGGTTTTTATCGAATCAAGTCGAACGTTGTTATTTTATTTAAAAAATAGAAAGAAGGTGTAGAGGGGAAGGAAGATTTTTACGAGATTTTTATAAAAGAGTGAAAAGGGAGAAAGAGGTGGTCGGTTTGGAAAGACGATGCGATTCGGTGGGGCTGGAGATCCGTTTGGAAGAAAAGGAAAAGGAGAGGATTTTGAGAAACACTGCGTATCTGTGCCGAGCGCCACGCGACCAGGTCGTCCGGTCGGGCTGGGTGCCGGGTGTTGTTGAAATCAACGTGGTGGGGTTCCTTCGACGACCACAACCGGAGCCTTATGCCTTCAGTCGACTCTCGGCTCTCACTGCGACTCGAGCTGGCTGAGATTCCGTTAATTAAGCAACCACCGATCCGCAACCATCGGCACGCGCTCGAATCGCGTCCGTCGATCGTCGCCCCGACGAAAAAAACAACGCTCGTCCCGACCTCGAGCAGAGAAGAAGCGAACCGAGGGAGGGAGGGGGGGGGGAAAGCCTCTCCAAGATTCCATTCGCTGCCGATCCATTCGCGAACCAGTCACGAGCCGATCGGTTTCTCGAAACGTCGTTCATCCAAAGGATGAATCGATCGAACATCGGCAACATCGAGGATCGACGAGGAGCGTCGCGACGAACGTTTTAAAACCCGCGTGCAACGATCCCGTCACGGCCGGGATCACGACCAGTTCCTTTTACCGGTCGATCACCTCGATCCACCGCGTCACAATCGCTCGTGGAGCGGGACGTGCACGTCGCGTACGCGTCGTTGGCTGGTTAATTAGTACGTGGGTGCCGTGATAGAGTGGGAGAGGTTGGTCGAGAGAGAGAGAGAGAGAGAGAGAGCGAGTGGATGCAAAGAGATGCCGAAAGTGGTGGAGGGAGCACGATTGAGAGGAGCAGAAGAAGAGAGCATCGAGAAATAAAAGAGGAGGCGAGAAGAGGGTTGTTGGTTGTGGAAGAAGCCGGAGTGGAGCCTGTGTGGAGACGGTTAAATAGATGCAGGAATCTGTACGCCTCGGCGCCATGCTGGTGTAGCGGCGAGAAAAAATATTTCGGTGTTGTGTGAACGTGTCCGTGCGCGGATAGGAATCCCAGGAGCGTAACAGTCGTCGCGTTCGGTTAAAGGGATTCGTGAATTCGCTCGAGGACCAGTTCGCCTATCGACACACACCCGTTGGAGCAAGAGGAGGAGGAGGAGGAGGAGGAGGAGGAAACGTTGGAACAGGGAGAATTTATCTCGAAAGGGGGATTGTCAGGAGGGTGAAAATTCGAATCGAAAAGATCGATGATCCTCGACCAGTGATTTTATTTTATTTTATTCTACTTTTTCCTTCCCCGTTCTCTTATCATTACGATTACGATTGAACGTGAATAACGCGCGAGGAACATGTTGTGCGGCACGTTCGGGAAGAAGAGAAGGCATCCAGGGGATGAGTATCGATTGGTGAGATCGAACACGATGCCTAGGATCCTGTCGGCGAAGGAAGGCAGCCTGGTCACGGTCCGGAGAACAAAGTCCTCGAGGGTGGCGGCTCGTTCCCCTCATCTCAGGGATCTTCTGCACATGGTAAGCCAATAAACTCGGTGGTGATTCGAGGTATTATTGTTTGTCCCTCGCGATGAATATCTAACGTCGGAAAATCGACTCTCGAGGAAACGAGTATATACGCGATTACCGTTTCGTTGTCCTTCAACGTCGTGGCTCGAGCGTTGAAACAAAGAACGGGAAAGGTCGTCAACGACCTTGCAACTTTATCTTTCCCCTTCTTTCCTTCTCGTACGAAATCGATCGGAATTGTATTTTACACGTTTCGCGTTTCGAGCGCAGCTGTTTGAACACGGACAAACGATTTCGACCATGTAACGCAGCTGCTGTCCTCGACAAGATTAGATTAAATTTGGTAGAATCGATACAATCGTAATACCGTCTTCCAATTTTCTATTTCTCGTCGAAAAGTTTCAATTCGCAAATTTATCCATCCATCCCCTCTGATTCCTTCGTGTAAAAGAAGCCGAGGGAAAAGGTGATCCGTCGTAATACATTTTCGCTTTCGAAAATAATTGGAAGAAGAGGTCGATCGTGCAACAACACGTTTTACAACCCCCGTATGGCAACAAGGGAGCTTCGATCGATTCTTCTTCCTCGAACGACTCTCTAATCGTCCCTCGAATCTACGTACACGCGAATGCTTCGTTCGCATATATCCGCACGCGATGATATATATAGTCGAGCGGGCGTGTACACGTTGCATAATTTACGACACCGTCCAACCGGCGTTGAACGCTCGATTCGTTCGAAAGCGGAGAGACCGATCTTCGATTCCATCCCGATATTTCCCTAATCGCGCCGATAATATTGGCCTCTTCGCCAACATTGTTGTGAAACGATTTCATCTGATTGGAATTTAATCAACAACAACATGTTTCAACATGTTTCAGCCAAATTCGAAGCTCCCTAGAGATCAGCATCCCTATTTACAATTTATCGGAGTAAAACGACTTGGAGTCTATTCCAAGATGCGAAAGAAAAGAAATGGAGAAAGCAAGAGGAGAGAGAGAGAGAGAGAAAGGAATAATTTCTGCATCGTGCAGAAATTCGGCGTGTCTCGCGAGAATCGTTGGGGGGAAGGAGGAGGTATCGATCGAGGGGGGCCGGTCACGATCATCCTCTTTGTCCTCCTCGTCTTTCCGAAACTCCTCCTCGCTGTTTCTTTTTACGGTCTAAATCCGGCCACGGAGGCGCCTGTGACCGCTCGCACAAGTCGCCACGAGATACTCGTGAGATGAGAAGAGAGAGAGAGAGAGAGAGAGAGCAAAAGGAAGCACGCGAGCCACCTTCTCGAGATGTTGGCCTTATAAGGCCTCCTCCGGGTGCTGCTCGTCGGTCTTCCATTAGAAATCCTTTGTCGTCCCGACCTCTTTTTCCGGACGGATTCTCGAGGGCTTTTCGTCGCCGGGATAGAATCCGCGGGCCCGACCTGGATGGATGGGGAGCGAGGATCGTTAGGAGAAGGTTGGTTCGTGTCGTGGAACATCGGTGAGCAGTTTTTAAGATAATGAGAAAGCGAGCCGTGCTCTTTCTTTGTCCACTTGAGAGAATTACCCGACCCGAGAAAGGGATGACGTCGAGAGGGGACGCGATCTGGATCGGGCCTTTCTAACGCTGTGAAACCTGGGATTCTTCCGTCTTTTTTCAGTCTCGAAGAAATCTTTGCCCGCTCTCCCGGGGACCGACCGTCCCTTTGTCCAGGGCATATATCCGGCATATCGTCCCGAGTTAACGCTTCCTCGACGTTGCTCCTCCTTTCGTCTCGAGGCTTTTATATATATATATATATATATGTAAAATTATGAAAATAAGTCTGACCGAAGGAAAGAGAATTTTATACGTGACTTTTTATCTGACTCGCGTAATAACGCGATAGAAATTGGAATCGTTAGAAGAAATCTTGTTTCTGAGAAAAAAAACAGCAAAGCGAGAAGAGCGTGAAAATTTGTCGTTCCAGTTGTCCGTCCTGCGACCGCCTACGAGAGCTCCTTCTCCCGAGCCGCTTTGCAGCCGCGTCTAGTTTCGCCTCTCTTCTACCCGGATAAAAAAAAAACGATCTCGACTCGATTTCTATAATTGCCTTGCTACTTTTTCAACGTCCTTCGTTGCCGAGTAATCACCACCGCCTTTCACTATTCGTTCGCCGTTGCTGCGAGTTTTCAATGCCTCGTTTGAACGCGCGAGAACCAGGAAATTAGATTCGAATTCGAATATTGGCGAGCCGATCGAGAGAAGAGGACGGATTTTTTTCACCGTCCCTCGAGGGTATGAAACGCGGGGAGAAGAAGCGATTCCATCTGGCTGGCAATTTGTGTACCCGGTCAGCCCGCTTCGTTCCCTTTTGTTCCCCTCCCCCTCCTCCTCTTCTTTTTCTTCGCTCTTCCCTCGCTGGAATTCCACCTGCCCCACCCCAGGACTCGCGAAATATCTCGACGCATTCCTGCGCACCGTGCAGCTCCTTGGATTTGTGCCCTCTCGTTGTGCCGCTCTTAAGGACCTGTTACGACTCTCTCCCACCAAATCCACGCTCGATTCGCACGCGACGATAAATATAATATAATTGATGATTTCTTGATCCGAAAACTATTCGGAGGAAAGGCGCACGTTTCCATCCACGAAAACAAAGCAAAAAGGATATTAACGATGGATTAACTTGCGCAACTTGTTAATGGAAAGTTAATTATAGGAATATTTCTAGATGCCAACCGCTATTTCTGTCTAGAGAGAAGGGAGACTTGGTAATCCTCGTAACTGGTACCAGATGCCATCAATCCTTCGGATACCCGCTTCTCTTCCGGTAACCTTCCATCGATAGGATTCTCGACGATGAAAAATTCCTCCCTCCCCCCTCATGAAAATTGCGCAATCGCGGCAAAATCGTTGTACAAGCGGTGACGAGAGAGTCGAAGGAGAGTAGCTCGGTTCAAAGAACTTGTATCGTCGCGCCCTATATTTCGTTATCGCGGTGTCGTTAAACCGCGCTTTTAAACTCGCCGCTTTCGTTGTCGAGAATTGTGCCCTCTGAAACGCTTCTGAAACGGACGCTCCTTTTTTTCTTTTCTTTTCTTTTCTTTGTCGTTCGAGCGAGGAAAACAAGGAGGAAAACAAGGAGGTTTTTTTGTCGTTCGATCGTGAAAATTGTAGACGAGAATGCAATCGTGGCGGGATAGGATTATTCTTGGAGCAATTAGCACGACGTAAATTAATTTTAGCCATTCGATCGTGGCACGATGAATACGAGTCGCGTTGCATGGACAGCTGGAAGGATGAGGAAGAGGAGGAACAGGTTGAAAGGTTTTAGAAAGTCATCCTGACTTATTGAGCTTTACTCTTTTATTAGAAAGTTTGCTGATATCGTGATTCTTAACGGAACACCGAAACCAATTTACAGTTAACAATTGGTGAAATCAAACGCATTGTTCAATTTCCTACATACGAGTCTCTATTATATTTGCAATAATTTTTATTATTAGATCTAAGATATATACACACACACATATATATATATATATATATATATATTATTTACTTTTACTATTTTTTATCGATAGTTGACGGTGAATAGTGAATGGAAGTAAGAAAAAAAAGAAGAAAAAAATAGGCGTCGCATTGGGACGCAATTTTATTAGCGATTCGATTCGTTGGAGCGTTCTTTAAACCTTCTCCGGATTGGTTTACGCCGGTTTCAATTTGTGGCGCCGTCCGCGAAGCTTCTTCTAATTACCGCTAATTAGAGCCGATGCTGCAAGTGGCGGCTGTTCTCTCTTCTCGGATCGTTGAAAGGAATTCCCTCGACTATTGGCGTCGCCTAGTTTCCAGGAACGTTACTTTATCCAGAAACGGGACAGAGACTCTGAAAGCGATACCGGCGCTTCTTCTTGCGTTACACATCCTCCTCTCGTTAGACTAGACAAGCTTTTGCCTATCAAAAATCTTTTTAATCTTCCCTTTCGAATCGGATACTCGGTGCATTTTTTAATTTCAACTTTTCTTCCTCGAATTAAACGCGATTGATACTTTTTTCTTCTTTTTTTTGAAAGTGTTGTACGCGACGATTTGTATTCCAACAGATTCGTTTCGCAGGCTTGTCGCTCTTCGAGTTGGAGAAACAAGGAACGGTTAAAAATCGCGGAAGAACGTTGCTACGAGGAAACTCGGTCGCGAGAAACAATGGTGTAACTCTATTAGAGATCGTGCAAAGGTTGTGGCGGGCGAATATGACGATTCTAGGAGAGGTTAAATCGGGCCCACATGCGCGTTTCACTGGGCGTGGCCGGCCACTTAATCCGAACGACAACGTCGACGAAACACGGTTCCCTTTGCTGCAGAATTCTCCAAACCATCCGAGAATACTAACCATCCGATTCAGTTGGATCGATATCTCGTTGAACGTTTAAACCGAGAGATAATAGAAAAAAAAAAAAAAAAAAAAAGAAAA